CACACACACACACACACACACACACACACACACACACACACACACACACACACACACACACACACACACACACACACACACACACACACAGACAATCTACGTGTGCTGTCATTCATGGCTGAACTGTGACAGTGATGATGAGCAGCCTGGTTCCTGCAGGGTTCTCTGTACCTGCCTGATTTCTGCTGCTCACTAACACAACATCACCTGGTTTCTGCAGGTGCTGCTGTTCACTGCTGAGGAGCCCTGGACTGATTACAGCTCCTGTTTTATAAAAGTCTACCTGCACTGAGGGCTTCTCTGACATCTGAAGGCTTTATTAGAATTACTCTTTCTACAGGTACTCTACTACATATTTATTTACTAACTCTTCAGTGTAACTTACTGTTTCACATTTTCAAAGCCTCAAATACCAAGTCAGGCAAGTAGGGGTCTCTGCAGACGAGTGGGCGTGTCACAAGGAAAGGTGATTCTAAAGCGACACACCTGATTTGACGGACTTTGTTAAAGGGACATATCTGATTGGACAAGAACAAAAGGGGCATTACTGTACGGCGCCACCTGATTGGACAAAAACAAAAGGGGCGTTACTGTACGGCGCCACCTGATTGGACAAAAACAAAAGGGGCGTTACTGTACGGCACTACCTGATTGGACAAAAACAAAAGGGCGTTACTGTACGGCACCACCTGATTGGACAAAAACAAAAGGGGCGTTACTGTACGGCACCACCTGATAGGACAAAAACAAAAGGGCGTTACTGTACGGCACCACCTGATTGGACAAAAACAAAAGGGGCGTTACTGTACGGCACCACNAAAAGGGCGTTACTGTACGGCACCACCTGATTGGACAAAAACAAAAGGGGCGTTACTGTACGGCACCACTTTTTCTGGAGAACCCTACTTGGGTCACATTTCTCCTGGTTRACCTTAGTGTTGGGGTCAGGGTCAGGCTGTAAAGAGGTCAAACAGGATCTAAGGATACCATCATGTAGGCCTCGTAGCCCACAGTGTTTATGGTTTAGACACGCCCACTCTTGTGACACGCCCACTTTGATTCTGCAGATAACCCCTTCTCGCTGTCAGGTACGATCATGAACTGTTTGTAGTTAAGTCTGTTTCAGTCAAACTGAAATCGTTGCTGTTGTACCTCTGTGACTCGTCCTTTGCAGCTAATTAAATGTCAGCTGGCTGCAACACAAAAACAAATAACATTTTGTCATTTTTACAGATGTAAAGATTAAACTTCATGTGCTCATTGTAGTGACTATTAAACACTTTGACACAACTGTTGACAATGTCAAGTTTTATTTTTGTACTAAACAGTATTTATATATATAAATATTAGGTATGTACACAGCACATAATGAGTCTCCAGTGTGTGAGGTCCTGCAGCTCCTGGGCTTCAGGAGGACAGATGATCACCAGTTCACAGTCCAACAACATCACATCAGGCTTTAGACCCTGTCTCTGGGCCTGCAGGAGGATCCATCAAGTCTTTAAATCCCAGTTTCTCCAGAGGCTCTTTGGCCATGAGCTGTCTGAAACACACAACACATCAGGTATGAGAGACACACACATCAGTGTGTTCAACATGTGTATCAGCTGCCACACAAAGCACACAGCTGACGTCTTTAATAAGTGTGTGGACCTACAGCCATGAATCAGAGCAGCCCACACACACACCTGTCACCACCTGGACCAGAACCTGGACCCCCGAGGTGTGAGCAGCTGTATGAAGGCCTCAGAAAACTGCAGACACTCCTCTTATACAGACAGGCTCTGGTATCATGGCTACCTGACAACAGAGCTCAAAGTGTGGGATCATTTTAAGAAAATGAAAGAGAAACCTGTGTAATATCTGCAGAGCAGAACTTACCTTCCACAGCTATTATTTTTAGTTAGCATATAGCTAAAATCTAACCATGGTTATATATTAGCAGCTGCATTCTGGTGTGATAAACTCTATGTTTTATATTCAATTAACGTATGATCTGATTAGTCGACTAATCGAATAAATAATCTGTGATTAATCGATTATAAAAATAATGGTTTGTGGCAGCTCTAGTGTCAAACAATGTTTTAGTCAAACAGAACCAACAAGAATGAAACAAAACATAAAGAATTAGAGAAAAAATAAATGTTAAATGTAAATAAATTCTAATTATAATAAATTAATAATAGTTTTACATCTAAAAATCTTATTTTATTATTTTAATCTATTTTCCTCATTCAGCAACCTATTAAATTTCTGTTATGTTTCATGTAGGAGAAATACACATTTTTTTCAGTCAGTATTTAATACAGCTGGCAAAATAAATTGTTAAAATATGTATTATGTGCTTCTGTTTTTTAATTCAGGAGATTATTAAAAAATCCTTCATTTTATGGGAAGACCCTCTTGATTCAAGAGAAAACTCCGTTATTTTTTAAAAAATGGCTGCTTTTTAATTAATTGTTAATCAATCTATAAGATAAATCAACTTCAGATTAATTCATTGATCAATAACTTGCATCCTTAAGGAGTTAATTTATATCTACTTATATTCATGTAATTAAGCGTTTTAATGATTTGGCCAATTAATCGAAAAAATAATCGACAGATTAATCGATTATTAAAATAATCGTTAGTTGCAGCCCTAGTAATGTGTCGAAACGACACGATGCCTCATCAAACCATCACTAGTGGACATCATGTGTCTCAGGTTAGTGGACATGTCTCAGGAAACTGTCCTGTCAGAAACGTGTCACTACGTCACACAGTGCAGTCTCTGATTGGTCGACGCGCTGCTTTGAGCTGCAACACTTCAGATGTTCAAATCCAGCGTTGCTCAGATGGAGCTATAGATGCACCGCAGCGTCCACCGTAGACTGTGCATTTAAACCTGATTCTCAGAAGGCGTTTGGTGTGGACGCACCATAGTTCAGTGTTTTTCAACCCTGGTCCTCATGTCACACCGTCCTCCATGTTTTAGATATGTCCCTGATTCAACACAGCTGATTTCAGTTGATAAATCATGAACAGGCTGTGTTGAACTGCAGTCAGGTGAATCATCTGAGTTGAAGCAGAGGAACATCTAAAACATGAGGGCAGTGTTCCTGAGGACCCGGGCTGAAAAACACTGAACTAAAGAGTAGAAACGTGGCAGACACAAAGAGAACAAAGGAGCAATTGAAAACGATGGTTCTCATTCTAATTTATCATAGGGTTAATTGATTTATTGTTCATGGTGACATGCCTACCATCACAGCACATGGTCAAACCAAGTTAACAGGCTGACATTCAGAGTGCTGGTAGTAGCTGAGAATCCTCCACAGCTCACAGTCTGAGCACTACCACAGCAGTTTCAACATCACAACATGGAGTGTTAGTGTTGGACAGAAACAGCTAGATATCCATTATTTCTCCACATCAGCTGACTTTACAGTGAAACAGTTGGTAAAATACATCCACTCAAAGAATCCTTTTAAATGTTTGAGTTTTCTTACTTCTCCATTCTGCACTCCAGATAGTCCTTGGACTGGAGTCGACACCTGGAGTTGTCAAAGTTGTTTTCTTTCAGACACTTCATGAACGTCTCTTTGAAGCTTTTACACTCTCCTGAAACAAAACCACATCACTCGTCAGTGACAGTGTCCAAACATCAACCATAAGTGACAGTGTCCAAACATCAACCATCAGTGACAGTGTCCAAACATCAACCGTCAGTGACAGTGTCCTAACATCAACCGTCAGTGACAGTGTCCAAACATCAACCGTCAGTGACAGTGTCCAAACATCAACCGTCAGTGTCCAAACATCAACCGTCAGTGACAGTGTCCAAACATCAACCATCAGTGACAGTGTCCAAACATCAACCATCAGTGACAGTGTCCAAACATCAACCGTCAGTGACAGTGTCCAAACATCAACCGTCAGTGACAGTGTCCAAACATCAACCGTCAGTGACAGTGTCCAAACATCAACCGTCAGTGTCCAAACATCAACCGTCAGTGACAGTGTCCAAACATCAACCGTCAGTGTCCAAACATCAACCGTCAGTGTCCAAACATCAACCGTCAGTGAGTGTCCAAACATCAACCATCAGTGACAGTGTCCAAACATCAACCGACAGTG